GTCCCATAGAGAGCTGCTTGGTATAGTCTCGCAAAAACACGAATATGTCTCTACTATGATGTTGTAGCGACGAATGGTTTAATATATTAGAAACTAGACATGTAGATGTTCAATTTGGTGGGTATATCATCCCATAATTCAAAGTACAGTGGGAGAATATCTCAACGACATTTCGCCTAATTTTCAGCACATTTTTGAATGTAACTTGTGATGACCTTTTCCAACTTTTGTTCCACAACTTGATTGACTTAAAAACATAACACATGACTATCATACGACTAAAATAATTCATAACATAACCTCCTTATCATGTTAAGAACCCTAGTCTCATCCCAAAAGTATACGTTATAACATTCTCAACTTGTCTACTTTTGACGAAACTTATTTCCTTCAATTTATTTAGCTTCTAAGCCTTCCAACCCTCTTGGTAACATTATTAACTTACTTTATGTACTTTCAAAGACGATCTCATTTCTGAGCTTACATCAATTGACTTACGATGTACTCTTATGTACGATAATATGGGGTGTAACACTCAGTTCATATCGTACTTTTGGAGTGCGGTGCAGCAAGAATTAGGCACGCTGGTAGAGTTTAGTACAAAGTTCCATCCCTAAATGGACAGGTAGTCCCAGCGTACTATTCAAATATTGGAGGACATGTTATGTGCCTTTGTCATTGATTTTGGAGGTTCATGGGATCAATTTAGTCTGTTAATAGAGTTCGCCTACAATAATAGCTTCCAGCCGAGTATCCAAAGGGCTCCTTATGAGGCTTTATATGGGAGGAGATGTCGTTCTCTGATTGGTTGGTTTGAGCCCGGGGAGGCTAGATTGTTGGGCACTGATTTATTTTGTGATGCCTTGGAGAAGGTGAAAGTGATCCAAGAGCGGCTTCGTACAACATAGTTCAGGCAGAAGAGTTATGTTGACAAGAAGGTTCGTGATGTTCTATGGTGGGTGAGAAGGTTTTGCTCAGAGTTTCACCCATGAAGGGTGTGATGAGGTTCAAGAATAAGGGCAATTTGAGACCTCAGTATATTGACCTTTTTGAGGTGGTTGAGAGAGTGGGAGATATGGCTTACAGACTTTCATTGCCACCTAGTCAATTAGGTGTTCACCTAGTATTTCATATTTCTATGCTCTAGAAGTATTATAGTGATCTGTCACATATTTTAGACTTCAGTAGGGTATAACTAGATGGGGATCTGACTTATAATTTGGAGCCAGCGGCCATTTTGGACCGGAAGGTTCGAGAATTGAGGTGCAAGAATATAACATCAGTGAAAGTTCATTGGAGAGGTCATCCGGTCGAGGAGGATACTTGGGAGACCGATTGGGAGATGCTGAGAAGATACCCACACCTATTTGAGACTCCAGGTATGATTCTAGAGCCGTTAGAGGACAAACATTTGTTTAAGAGGGGAGAATTAATGACCCGGTCATTCATTTTGTGTATTATAGCCCTATTCCCCTATTTATTGCTTCTTTTATGTTCATTTTGTGGTTATGTTACTTGTCGGGGTGCTTGGATTGATTTCGGGAAGGTCTTGGTGTGAATTGGGACACTTAGTCTTAAGGTTGAGGCTTAAGTTGAAGGAGTTAACTAGAGTTTGACTTTGTGTAGATGAATTCGGAATGGTATTTTGATGGTTCTAATAGCTTCATATGGTGATTTTGGACTTAGGCATATGTTCGGGTGTTAATTTAGAGGTCCATAGGTTGATTTAATGCTTTTGGCGAAAGTTGGAGGTTTGGAAGGTTGAGAGGTTTGACCGAGAGTTGACTTTATTGCTATCAGGTTTGGATTTTGGTTTTAGGAGTTATAATATGTTTGTTATGTCATTTGGGACTTCCATGCAAAATTTGATATCATTCGGAGTTGATTTGATATGTTTGGCATGAGTTTTGAATGTTAAAAGTTCATTAGTTCATTAGGCTTGTGTTGGGATGTTATTCATGATTTTGGTATTATTTGATGTGATTTGAAGCTTCGAGTAAGTTCGTATAGTATTTTAGGACTCGTTGGTATATTTGGATGAGGTCTCGGGGATCTCGGTTATGTTTTGTATTGTCTACGGACCATTTCCATCATGTTTGGGACTGCTGTTCTGAGGTTCTGGTTTCCTTTTTCGTGATCGTGAAGAGACTGTCGCGATCACGAAAGGCATTTTGTTGCCTGGAGGAAATTTTTCATCGCGTTCGCAAGCTGGGTCTGCGATATAGGTTATTTCTAGGGCAGAGAATATTTGTTCTTCGCAATGGCCACGTAGTGCAATCGTGGTGACTAATGCCTGGGCAGACTATATAGTACTCTATTTCGAGGGTTTGGTTAATTTTAACATATTTTGAGTTGTATAGCTTGGTTATGGACGATTTTGAAGGGGATTTTCACGATTTAGATCGGGGTAAGTGTTTTTTACTCGGATTTGTCCATTATTCATGATTCAATCTTTATTTTTATCATTTAATTAATGATTTGAATTGGAGAAACTGGGATTGAAGTCAAAATTGGATAAAATTAGTACGGTTGGACTCGTAATCGAATGAGTGTTCAGAATTTTTAAGTTTGATCGGGTTCCGAGGTGCGGGCTCGGGATTGACTTTTGGGTTAACTTTATTATTTTGATTAATGATATTACTTTTATCATTTGGATTCGATTCCTATGACTTTCATTTATTAAATTAATTAATTTGGCTAGATTCGGGTCGCCTAGAGGTTGATACATGCAGAAAGGACTTGTTAGAGGAGTGATTTGGCTTGCTTGAGGTAAATATCTTACTTAAATTTGGTTTAGGCACTAGTTGCGTGAGTTATTTATGATAACTATGTGCTATGGGGGAGCATATATGTGGGGTTTGAGACCATGTTTGAGCACCGGGGTATTTATCCATGCTCGGGGTAGTGCTTAGGCTATGATATGCCTTAAATTGACTATTAAGCTTTAAGCTATGATGTTTCTCATATTTGTAACCTTGTTGTGAGCTATTTGATCCATGTTTGAGGTTACATAGAGGATAATTCTCTGAATGAACTTGATAATTGTTATTTGTGATGAAATTGCCGATTTGAGTTGTGATAGCACACTTTGCACATGCCTATACTTTAGCATGTAATTATATCGTTCAAGGAGCATGAAATCTGATATTTATTCATAATATACATGTGTTCTTGAATATTTGCTTTTGTGTGATATGATTTGGACTGGATGTTTGTGACCACGCCATCCAGATTTTCGATGGTGTGAGCGGTTGGCCTTGGTGGGTGAGAGAAGAGGTAGAGGGAGGCCTAAGAAGTATTGGGGAGAGGTGATCAGTCAGGACATGGTACGACTACAGATTTCTGAGGACATCGCCCTTGACAGGAAGGTCTGGAGGTCAAGCATTAGGGTTGTAGGTTAGGAGATAGTAGAGCTTTCCTTACTTCATACCTGGGTGAGGCGGGTTTGGATTAGGGTTGATCTTAGATGGCTTACAATTTATGTTGAATCCACATTATCCTTGTTGTTTATCTTCGCCCCGGGCCTTAGTTACTGGTTACTGTTATTGCATGTCATTTATCTTTTGGTTGTTATGCTTCTGTTATTATTATAATTTCTATTGAGTTACTAATGAATTGTTTTTTCTCTCTCTCTCTTTATTTTTTTCTTCTCTGAGCTGAGGGTCTGTCAGAAATAGTCTCTCTGCCCTATCGGGGTAGGGGTAAGGTCTACGTACATATTATCCTCCCTAAACCCCACTTTGTGGGATTTTACTGGGTAGTTGTTATTGTTGTTGTTGTTGTCTGTGACCATGCCTGGCGGATTGTATTAGCATGCATGTGACCATGTGGGGCGAATTGTGTTGTTATGCATGTGACCACGTCGAATGTATTGTATTGTTTTGCATGTGACCACGCTGGGCGAATTGTGTTGTTATGCCTGTGACCATACCAGGTGGATATAATATTGAGATTGTGACCACTTCGCGCTGATAGCACGTTGAATTGGTCGTGCTGCGTGCGGATATAGATCTATCCCTCTTGGGTCATCCTCTCATGTGCTTTCTTGATGGTGTAAACGCGGATTTGAGGAAACTGATAAGTGGTTTGGTATGGATACAGAACTATTGAGGAAAATCTGGCTAGTGTTTGCTTTGGAGTTTACATTTCATCTTTGCTTGCAATTTTCGTGGTTAATTATCTGATTTATTTGCATATCATCTTTATATGTTGTATCATTGAGTAAGCAGAGAACCTGTGTAATTGTGCACACACATATGGTTCTTTATGTGCTTTATGACTTGATCACATTATTGTTCTGTACTTGTTGAGTTTATGAAACTGTACATGTTATAGCAGGTATCATTTATACTTCTTGCTTCTTTTACCTCGCCAAGGTTAGTTATGATACTTGTAGAGTACATTGGGTTAGTTGTACTCATGCTACACTCTACACTCAATTGTGCAGATCCTGGTGTCGGACCCAGTCATCATAGCCGAGACTTGTGACAGAGTTGATCGCTGAGATACGAGGTAGAACTACATTCTCGACCGCAGTCTTGGCGTCTCTTTTCTTATGTAATGTTGTCTTTAGTTCAGACAGTATTGTTATTTAGCTTTTCAGAATTTGTATTTTGTTGTAGAACTCATGACTCTCTATTTATCAGTTCTGGAGGACTTTATCATGCATTGCCATTATTATGTTATATTGAGGTTTCGGACTTGTGTAATTTCTGTAAATTCCACTATTTTGGCTCTTTATTGTTATTTCTGGCTTGCCTATCAAATGTGTTAGGCGTCATCATAACTGGTTGGGTTTTGGTCGTGACAAGTGGGTTGTCCTTATTTTGTAGTTAACCCAATTCAAAAAGATGTCGGTGCAACGTTTACTGTTTTGATTTCTTGAAGATTAACTGATAATTATATATAATTTTTCGGAGCAGAATAGAGACAAAATCAATTAGCTATCACGTACAAACAAAAAAAGATATTTGATATATAACACTACTCGTGAGGCTCCAAGCCAACTAAGATTCCACGACAATTTGAAACATAAATCAGAGCGTAGTTGAAGCCCTATGCATCTTGTACCTATAAAATATGCACATGTAAGCTCTTACATCCCAACCTTCGCAAATACTACCAACACTACTTATATAAAACCACCTTCCATTTTTTCTAAATCGTCTCACTCTAGCTTTCAATTTTTACCAAAAAATGGCTTCAAATCCAGCATTAGCAAAGCTAAACTTTGTTTTGATACCTTTACTTTCTGCAAGTCGCATAATACCCATGGTTGACATTGCCAAATTTTTAGCACAGCGAGGTGTGACAGTCACTTTAGTGTTGACACCTCTTAATGCTGCCCCATTTACTGCAGTAATTGATCGCGCCATCGGTTCTGGACTCCTCATTCGGGTACTTGAGCTTCAGTTTCCAGCCAAGGAAGCAGGACTTCCAGAGGGATGTGAAAGCCTGAATCTTCTTCCCTCTATGGCTTTTGTAAGAAATTTCTATAATGCAACTGATATGCTACAAAATGAAGCTGAAAATTTACTTGAAGAGATGAAGCCTAAGCCAAGTTGCATTATTTCCGATACGCTTATTGCTTGGACAGCTGATACAGCTGATAAGTTTCAGATTCCAAGAATCCTTTTTGATGGAATGAGTTGTTTCAGTCAAGTGTGTTTGCATAACTTGTACATCATGAAGGATCAAAACAAAATCCCTGACTCGGGTTCTTTTGTTATTCCTGATTTACCAGATAGAATTGAGGTCACTAAAGCTCAGCTGCCTGCAGCATTCCATCCAGGAACCATTTCCATACAAGATATTCGTGACAAAATACGAGCAGCTGAAACAAGATCCTATGGGGTTGTCATCAATACTTTCGAGGAGTTGGAACAAAGGTATGTTGATAATTTCCGAAAACGTAAAGATGGTAGAGTTTGGTGTATTGGACCTTTGTCTCTTTCTAACAATGACGATCAAGATAAAGCTCAGAGAGGGAACAAGGCCTCATTTCACAAAGAAGAATCTTTGACGAAATGGCTTGATTCTTGGCCGTCTGAGTCTGTTGTGTATGCATGTCTTGGAAGCCTCGGTCGTATTCCAGTTGTACAATTTGTGGAGCTAGCTTTAGGCCTGGAAGCATCAGGTTATCCATTTATTTTAGTGATAAAAGCAGGGGAAGGACAAGAACCAATAGAGGACTGGATATCGAAAAATGGATTTGAGGAAAGAAACAAAAGAAAGAGGGGGCTTTTAATCCGTGGCTGGGCACCACAAGTATTGATCCTATCACACCCTGCAATTGGGGGGTTCTTGACTCATTGTGGTTGGAATTCGACTCTTGAGGGTATCAGTGCTGGCGTACCTATGATCACATGGCCTTTATTATCAGAGCAATTTTTGAATGAGAGATTCATAGTACATGTCTTGAAGACGGGTGTGAGTGTTGGATGTCAGGAAGTGGTTCATTTTGGCGAGGAAGGGAAGTTTGAGGCCCAAGTGAGTAAGGAAGAAGTAACCAAAGCCATTAAAACAGTGATGGATAAGGAGAAAGAAGGAAAAGAGAGCAGAAAAAGAGCCAGAGAACTTGGAGAAATGGCAAAAAGGGTTGTAGAAAGTGCTGGATCTTCTTATCTCACTTTGGAACTTTTAATCAAAGAAATAAAAGAATTCCAACTTAACAAATCAGCTTAAAATGAGAATGCACAAGTATGCAATGTACTTCTTTGATTAGAAAATTTTATATGCAATGCACTTCTTTGATTAGAAAATTTTGTATGCAATGTACTTCTTGAATTGAAAATGTTATTTGCAATGTACTTCTTTGACTCGAATAGCATTGAGAGGTGTCACGACTAAAGTGAATTTCATGCCTCGCTGCGTCAACAATTTGGCCATGTCCAACAGTAAGTAAAGGTATGAAGAAAACGTTAAGCTCTTCTAATCCTGACTTGAAACCATTTCTGGTAAACACTGCTAGCTGTAGTATTAGATGATTCAGTTGTAAATCAAGAAAGATGATATAAGTAGTGGTAGTATTTGTTACAAGGGTAAGAGAGGTCTCAATAAATTTGGTGGCCTAAAACCAAGTTTTAACTAGATGCCTTAAATTTTTTTTAAAATATTTATTTGTATTTGAAGTCTATTTTTTAATATTTTGATATGTAAAGTTGTAAATAATTTTCTAAAATCTACCCCTTTTCTGTTTAGGACAATTAAAGAGAAAAAACAATAATACTAATGTCAAACCTATTCCACAATTTATTCAAACATAAAGAATTTAAGGAAAGATCTACATTACCAATTTTTTACTGAAACAGTAAATCAATTAGAAATTAAATATTTTTTAAATTTATATAGTAAAGAACCTCTCTACCTAAAATACTTAATACAACTTTACCCAAGTATCCTACTGTGGGTAAAATTTAGGGCCCCTACAAGGGTGAGATCTAAAGCAAATGCTTTAGTTGCTTCATCCATCAGCCGGTCCTGACAAGGGTGGGGTTTCATCTTCAATTCCATGAATGCTCAAGTCCTTGTAATGTAGCATCACATGTGTAGTTGTTCATAATGGCACGTCGGGCCCAGATAAAAGTAATTCAAACGTTTAAACCATGACAGTTATACATTTCATTTCATAAGTTGTCTATGTCAGAATGTCTTCGTATAAATCTACGTGTCTACCCGTAAAACGGTACAGTTGAATTTATATGTAATTTCTAGATAAGTGAATTAATTCGATCCTGAAATAATAAAACAATTGAAGAAATATACAATACTTAACCTTGAGATGAAGATGAAATAGCAGAAATAGTAGTTCCGGGAACAAGGCTTCCGGGCACAATAGTAATGAAATCAAAAAGTAAAAAGGTAAAAATGTATAAAACTTTGAATAGATTATAGCATAAGTTTGCCAGAAAATTTCTCTCTTTACAATAATAACAGATCTCACTATTTATAGTTGCACCTAGGGAACAAGGTCTTAGGATCATGCCCCTTTTTAATGTTAATTATGAGGGTCATTGAAGAATGTGTAACAGCGGGCATGAATGACAAATTCTTTGTAACAGGCAGTATACTAAATGTTGTAGAATATTTTTCATTAAATGCTACCGGGTGATAGGCATGTACTGCATCTTTACGAGCATCATTCTTTCTGGTAACAAATGAAACAGTTATCTTCGGTTTAGCTACCTTCTGCCTTCCACGTGTCACGTTCTTATGCAATTACTTAGCATAGCATATTCTACCTTATGCAGTATGATAGCTAATAATCTTGTTTATATTATTCATCGGAGCATTTCCGCATCACAAAGTGTCTTATATTATTAGGAATAATAGTATATTCACATCTCATCAAATGCACTTCTCGCACTGGGATAGTGCTAATGAAATGATGATGGTAGGCTATAATTATATATTTTAGTCGTGTATTATACTCGAATTTGTCATACTTTAATTGAGTTTGAGCTTTAATCGCTAGTGTATTGCATTAATTGCCTATTTTATGCCTTGTAGGAGTGATTCTTAGCTATATAGATGTTATGGAGCTTATTCGAGTTATTTGAAGCTTTGAAGTTTGAGTAAAAGCCCAAAGGATTAAGCCGGGATTATGTTCGGAGGTCAAAGATCAATTCTGGAAGTCAAAATTCAAGGAAGAAGCAACTGTTGAAGAAATGCACTAATGCGAGGCACTGCGCGACGCACCGTGCGAGGCATTAGTGTAATTTTATGTCAGAAATTTCCAAAGTTCAGAAACTGGATTTTTTTTGGTCTCACAGGAAAAAGCATTAGTGCGACGCATGGAAAGTAGTAAGTTCGCAAATTTTCCTATTTCAGCTTGGAAAAGAAGATTTCTTCTTGGCCCAACCCTACTTGTTATAAATACATGAAAATAATTATTTTGAGGACTTTTCACATAATTTAGACCTAGGGAGAGCACGGAGCCGTTGTAGAGTCCGGAATTTATCAGATTCCATATTTCTTCTATCAAACTTAGTAATCTTTATGTTTCTTTGGAAGAAATTATTGTTTTACTATCATATCTATGTGGATCTATGCTTCGCATTCTAGGGTTGTGGTTGTCATGAATATTGAAGTTTATTAATTATATTACCGTTAATTCGAGTTATCATCTTTGGTTGTTTCTCTAATTTTGTGCATAATTGCTTAATTGTTTGGCCAACAGTTGAGTTCTATTTACTATCTATGCTATGCTTGGGAAAGTCGTGTTTAGATTAGAGTAGAATTAGAGAGAGCTTGTTTCTGAACCCGTGGCTCGGGAAAAGATTTCGCGGTTAGGATAGGAATATACCTAACAGTCTTGCTTAGTTGAATACCGTATTATATTCGTTCATGATAGACTCAATACCATAGGAATATAGGGTTGATATTATGAATAGGCGGATAGTATTGTGGAAACATGCTATTTATATAAATGATCTGATCAACTAGCAATCATAGATAATTTGGATTAACAAGTGTAATTACGAACTCAATAGGATTGATAAACCGACCACAACCCTTGAATCTATATCCCCCTTGGTTACATGTTTAAATTTTGCAATAGCAGTTGTAATAGAAAAGTTAAACTTTTGATCATATTGAACATTAAATTGATTTTAGATTGCTTAGTCAACAGTTAATCTAAGTCTCTGTGGGTTCGACATCTGACTTTTGAGTCACTTTATTACGTGATGGCCATGTATACTTGCGTGTAATTGGGGAACCAACAAGTTTTGGCATCGTTGTCGGGGACTTAGTTATTGATTGTTTGTCTAAGTTTAACTTTTAGTTGATTTTTGTTCAAGTTTTAATTTTTTTTATTTAGTTAGTATTTTCTTTTCTTATTTTGACATGACATCATGGAATGAAGATTGTTTGAATGATGATTATTACTTTGATGATCCTTGTCCATATTGTGGAGGACTCCACTGGTGAAAAAATTGTTAGAATGTTCCCAAGAGTGGTTTGTGCGCACAATCTCAATCCTATGTGTGAAATATTTGGAACATGTGTGGTGGTCAAGGTGGCCATTAGGATAGTTGTCCTAATTCTTTATATCTGTATCCAAACTCTTATTATGATCTTTCTAATAATGTTTATGAGTTTGATAGGATCAACGATATGGAAGATATTAAATTGATGCTCATATAATGGAAATGATGAGGCAATTAATGTATCAAACTCATGAACGTCGAAAAGAGATGGAAATTCTCAAGGCAACAATGAAGAGAATGAAGGTCAAAGTAGAAGAATGGGATAAAACATCTAATGATCAACAAATTGCAGACTTAGTTGATAGTTAGGAAGAGCCTAAAATTGGACAAGAGAGTGAGTTCCAGCTAGAGAAAATTGTGAGCACTTTTAAGTTTGTCAAACTGTGAGCACTTTAGATTTTCTTTAAATATTTAACAAACTTTATGGTTAATTTTAAGGGGAATTTTTTATTTAAAAAAAATATTTCATCCAGAACACCAAAAATATTTCCTCTAATCCTAGAAACCACATTACCATAAACTGCATAAGACGCCTAAAGAAATCAAATCTGAGAGTATTGCATTGGCATGAATTTGTGGACAAAGTTTTAGTAAACTGTATTTGTAAAATAATTCTGGAGAAAATAAAACAACATAAATAGAAATATAAACGAAATAAAAGTTAATCCGAGCCCACTGAATTCACAATATTTTCTTAAGGAATTTAATCCCCTCCTAGTACCCAAGGTTATGGATTATTTTCTCCCAAGATAGAACGAATTACATACTGATGTAGTGGTACTTCAAACTCCAGTGTTTCAGTGACCACAAAGTTCGATAACAAATTACACTTACTCTTCTTTTCTTTGAAGTTAAAACAATGCAGAATAAGGAAGAGAAACTCATAAAATCGTATGGAAAATCCGAGAGAATGGACTTGTATTTATAGCCAATGTTGGGCTGAAATCAGAAGTGGTGCAACTCTTCAGAATGACTGTTTATGCAAAACGGCCACAACATAAATGCCATAATATAAATGGCTATTTACTCAACAATAAAGAGGAAAAATAAAAAGGGAAAATTGAAGAAGGTAGTTAATTTTCTGTTACCAAAACAGAAAACGGAAAAATGGGAACGGTTGGATTTTAATATTAATATTTTATTATTAAAATGGATATTTAATAATATATCTATTAATATTTATTATTAAAAAATAAATTTGGTCCAAAAAATTAATCAATCAATCGATCATTTGACCAAATCCAAATTCGAATCCGAATCCGAAGCCGAAGCCGAGCGAGCGAGCGACGACGGCACGAGGCTTGCCTTCTTCTCAACTCTTTAAGTTCTAGAAGAAGAGCAATTGCTTATATACCCATTAAAAATCTCTTCTTCTTCCAATATGGGACAATATTCCTTCATCAAGGCGAGAATCTCAAATGAAACTCAAATATTTTATTTTTCCTCCATTTCCCATTAACCCTCTTTTAAGCATTAATATACTTAAAAATCCAACAATCCCCCACATGAATGGGGAATGGCTATATCACGGAAATATGCGTGAAAAACTATGTGATTCGCAAACAAGGATTAATTGCATCTGGATAAGTAGGTTTCCCTTTGAACTTTCCGTAGTGAACTTATGTCGGATATACTCAATCAATCGGTAGATTTGATATCTTTGAACCGTCAAACTTTGGTGTATACCTACACAACCATAAGTCACACAACCAACCCTTAACCGTCTTTGGTTCTCATTGTTGTATTCGTTTCAACCATGAACACCGCTTGGTTTCATAAGTGCGTAGAGAACTGGCCTTACAAAATTCTCCTTGAAGCAG